GATGATGATGATGTGAGCGTTTTTGCTGCTATCAGCAAAAACGCTCACGGCATCATCATCATAAGCTTGCGTCAGCTTTTGCCGCAACGCTTGGACCCAAAACGGCCAGAGCGGGTGGTCGAACGCAGACAGCAAGCCAACCACCTTCTCGGAAAGAAGACCCGCCCACAACACGAGCAAGGACACGTAATGTTCGTGAGGAGGTCTCACTGAAGTACACGTCGTTCATTTCTAATCGTGCTCATTTCTAATTGTGCTCGTTTCTCACTGTTCCTGGCCCCCTAGTGGCCAGGAGGAGGCCCAGAATAGAACAATTAGAAATTCATAGGATCTTGGCCCCCAGAAAATCAAAAAACTTGGAATACTTAGAAATGAACAACGTGTATCGAATGAGACCAGATCTAGCTGATGCGTCGCGTGGATAAGAACTTCTACATCGCAAGCCCAGCGGATACATGGGCCGATCTGAAAAAGCTGACAACACGGAGCAATCCTGACAGAGTCTTAAGCCAACTACAACTTCCCCGCGATGACATGCCCTCCAACGCAACCGGTGAAAGCATCGCTCCAACATCACTCATGTGATCAACATCCACAACCCACCAGTTGACACATGATTCAATGCACTCTTACTGCTTTGTTGCAGGACGACCTCTACCCGCCCCTCTTCTGAGGCGGCCAACATGTTCGCTGGCCAGCGCGCTGCCCCCCACCGCTCTACACAAGCATCGTAGAGCCAAATGGCTTCCAAGCCCCACCCCGCAGTGCAATATATCGTCGAGGGTTTGGCCCCCCCCTCCCCAATGCTGATGCCGTCGGGCCTCCCCCCCGCGCGATGCCCCCCCCCCCCCCCTGTGGGAGTGGTGTGGGGTCCCCCCTGTGGGTGTGCGGTGGCTAGGGGTTCGCCTCAGTCAAGAGTCGGAGTCGCTGGCGCCGCCGCCGCCGTCGTGTCGTCGTCGTCGTCGTCGTCGGAGGAGGAGGAGGAGCATGTAGTGTAGTGTGTGTGGAGGAGGAGGAGGAGGAGGAGGAGGAGGAGGAGGAGGAGGGAGGGATGGAGAGGCGGATGGGGGGAGGAGGAAAAGGAACATCGTCGTCGACGGTGTCGCCTCCTTCTCGGTGTGGCGTTGTGTTCCAGTGCTTCAGGGAGCCGGAGCGGACGGTGTCTTCGTCGTCGTCGTCGCCGTCGTCGTCGTCTGGTGGGGGGGGGGCCCGAGGACCCTGGGACCCATCCCATCTGGGGGGGGGGGGCGTGGGCCCGGAACCCGCGATCATATATCCTTGGCGGCATGCAGGCGCCCACATACACGCAACTGGATGCAAGTTATGCATAGGTCGCTGATCCGTTTGAGCGCCGATACGTAAAGCCTACAAGTGCACGGGCCAAGCACTACTCATTACAGACTGCCTGCAGCCGACAGAATAGCCCTAGGCTGACATCGATGGCTCAACAATCTGGCTATCGCCTTAGCTGGCGACTACAGTACCGAATGCTCGATGAAGACATTATGGGCGCCCAATAGACTCAATCCTTTGAGGTTGTGCCAAATCTTGAGGCGCGAACAAGACATGATGCAGTCGTGCAACATCTCACATATTACCCGTCTTTTGGAACATGGGTGCGAACATTCGGCCAGACAGGAAAGACATTAATGAGGCGTGACGACGAAAGGGCAGGCGTGAGAGCGGCAGCACGTGCGTTGGGCGGTTCCTTGCGGCAGAGGCTGACCAAGGCCTGGCACTGGCTGAACAAGAAGACACGTTATGACAAAAGTGTAGGTGTCAACCGAAAGCCGTCCAGCACGATGGCCCAGTAAGCACAGCCAGCATGTACACTTGCTCTTCTTGCGGGCCCTGCTGCTCTGGATTCCGTACACCTCTTAGCGGTCGATCTGTTGAAGAAACAAGAGGCTGCGATAATTCCCACGCCTCACCAGATTGAGGAGCGGGTTGTGCCTAAGGCTGTACACATCGCCAAAGAAAAAAACAATTAGCCTGGCGAAGGGCCCAACCATACTCAGCTGTAGGTACCGCGATCGCGTGTCGAATCTTCGGTGGAGATTCTTATGGGGTGTGCGTGAAATGTGTGAGGGTGTCTCCCTCTGTGGCCCACGAAGCAGTGCCTGCTTTGCAGTACGCCATGCAGGGCTCCGCAGTTCCGCAGGACGCTTCAGCCAGGTGGAGCTCCCTGTGGGGCCACGAAACGCTGTCCTGGGTGGGGGAGGCGCATGCGGACACAGCCACTGGGGCTTCAAGTGGAGCTCCCTGTGGGGCGACGCAACACTGTCTGCGTGGGGGAGACGCATGCGAACACCGCCCCCGGGGCCTCAGGTGGAGCTCCCTGTGGGGCCACGAAACGTTGTCCTTGGGGGGGGGGACGCGTGTGAACACCGCCATCCGGGCCTTAGGTGGAGGTCGATGTGGGGCCACGAAACGTTGTCCTGGGTGGGGGAGACGCATGCGAACAAAACGCTGTGCTAGGCGGGTGGGACTCATGCGAAAACCGCCACTGGGGCCTCAAGTGGAGCTCCCTGTGGGGCCACGAAACGCTGTCCTGGGTGTGGGACACGCATACGAACACCGCCATTGGGGCCTCAAGTGGAGCTCCCTGTGGGGCCACGAAACGCTGTCCTGGGTGGGGGGCACGCATACGAACACCGCCACTGGGGCCTCAAGTGGAGCTCCCTGTGGGGCCACGAAACGTTGTCCTGGGCGGGGGGGACGCATGTGAACACCGCCATTCGGGCCTTAGGTGGAGGTCGATGTGGGGCCACGAAACGTTGTACTGGGCGGGGGAATCGCATGCGAATCCTGGGCCTTCGGTGGGGCCCCCTATGGGCCACGAAACGATGTACTGTGTGGGGGGGGGGCCCATGTGAACGGGTCCATTAGCGCCTCCGGTGAAGCTCCCTGTGGGGCTACGAAACGCGGCGGGGAAGACGCATGTGAACGGTTCCATTGGGGCCTTCGGTGGAGCTCCGTATGGGCCACGAAACGCCATGCTGGGTGGGGGAGACGCATGTGGACACCACCGCTGAGGCCTTCGGTGGAGCTCCCTATGGGGCCACGAAGCGCAGTGCCGGGCGGGGGGACGCATGTGGACGGCGCCGTTGAGGCCACCGGTGGAGCTCCTTATTGGGCCACGAAGCGCTGTGCTGGATGGCGGAGACGCATTTGGACACAGCAATTGGGGCCTTCGGTGGAACTCCCTCTGGGGCCACGAAACGCTGTGCTGGGTGAGGGAGACGCATGTGGACACCACCACTGGGGCCTTCGGTGGAGCTTCCTATAGGGCCAAGAAATGCTGCGCTGGGTAGGGGAGACGCATGTGGACACCGCGATTGGGCCTTAGGTGGAGCTCCCTATGAGGCCACGAAACGCCGTGGTGGGTGGGGGAGACGCATGTGGACACCGCAACTGGGGCCTTCGGTGGAGCTCCTTCTGGGGCCACGAAACGCTGTGCTGGGTTGGGGAGACGCATGTGGACACCGCCACTGGGGCCTCAGGTAGAACTCCCTCTGAGGCCACGAAACGTTGTGCTCGGTGAGGGAGACGCATGTGGACACCACCACTGGGGCCTTCGGTGGAGCTTCCCATAGGGCCAAGAAATGCTGTGCTGGGTGGGGGAAACGCATGTGGACACCGCCACTGGGGCCTTCGGTGGAGCTCCCTCTGGGGCCACGAAGCGCTGTGCTTGGTGGGGGAGACGCATGTGGACACCGCCACTGGGGCCTTATGTGGACCTTCTTATGGGGCCTCGAAACGCAATGCTGGGTGGGGGAGACGCACGTGGACACCGCCACCAGGGCTTTCGGTGAGCTCCTTATGGGGCCACGAACGACGACGAGGACATGCGCAGGGCAGAGGCACGGGAAGAGGCAGGAGGGGGAGGAGGAAGGAAGGACCGAGGAAGGAAGGAACGCCTGGACCGTCTCTTCAAAACGAGGACCCAACACCACAGGACGGTTGGGAATTAGCCGGACGAAGGACCCAACCATAAGCAGTTGTGGATACTGCATTCTGGGTCCATCGTTCTATGTGGCTGCGGGTGCGGCGCCGCACGGAGCCCCCGCGCCGCACGCCTGTCGCCCCGACGGGATCCCCGCGAAGCGCGCGGGTCCGCTGCGCGGAGCAGAGCAAGCTAGCTGGCTGGCTGGTAGCGGGCAAGGCTCTGGCCGCCGAAATGGGGCGGGGCCGCCACGCGAACCCTGCCACTGCGGCCTTCGGTGGAGCTCCTATGGGGCCACGATCCTCGTGTGCCCAAATGGCACGAGGCCGCCATGCGAACTCTGCCACTGGCGACTTCGGTTGGGGCCACGATCCTCGTGAGGAGTGTGCCCAAATGGCCCGAGGCCGCCATGCGAACCCTGCAACTGTGGCCTTTGGTGGAGCTCCTATGTGGCCACGATCCTCGTGAGGGGTGTGCCCAAATGGCCCGAGGCCGCCATGCGAACCCTGCCACTGGGGCATTAAGTAGAGTTCCCTATGGCGCCACGATCCTCGTGAGGTGAGGGGTGTGCCAACATGACCCGAGGCCGCCATGCGAACCCTGCCACTGGCGCCTTCGGTGGAGCTCCCATGGGACTACGATGCTCGTGAGGGGTGTGCCGAAATGGCCCGAGACCGGCATGCGACCCTTACTACTGGCGCCTTCGGTGGAGCTCCTATGGGGCCGCGATCCTCGTGAGGGGTGTGCCGAAACGGCCCGAGGCCGCCGTGCGAACCCTGCCACTGCGGCCTTGTGCCGAAACGGCCGGAGGCCGCCGTGCGGACCCTGCCACTGGGGCCTTCGGTGGAGCTCCCTATCGGGCCACGATCCTCGTGAGGGGGTGTGCCCAAATGGCCCGAGGCCGCCATGCGAACCCTGCTGCTGGGGCCTTCGGTGGAGCTCCCTATAGAGCCACGAAGCGCTGTACTGGGTGGGCGAAACGCAAGGAGGAAGGAGGAGGAGGAGCAGGGAGAAGGGAGGAGGAGGAGGGAGGAAGGCGGGAGGAGGAGAACGCGGGGCGCCGTCTCGTCAAAACGAGGACCCAACACCACAGGATGGCTGGGAAATATTGTCAGACTGAAGGATTGGAGCTTTTTCACACACGTGGAGACCGAGGATGAGATGTCGCACTGGGACGGGTCTCCAAGGGCGGACGTGGTAGGCCAACCGGGGAGAAATCCTACTTCTGGGGCGCCCTTCCGGCGTTGGGCACGCGCCCGGTCGTGATCGCACCCATTTGGCTGCGCACCCCTC